AGTTAATGAGCTGTGTCACCTGGCATCTGCTGGTGCCGGGCCGGGCCGAGTGTGTGCACATGTGAGCACTACCATTCTGTGTGTGTGTGTCTGTGTGTGTGCACATATGTGTCCACATGTATGTGTGTGTGAGCATGGAAACCCAACATACATGTGTGTATGTGGCAGGAGGACTTGGCTCAGATTTCCTCTGCAGATGCCCCTTGTCCTCCTCTGTCATTAGCCAATGTTCTGCACAACACATGATCAACAAAGGAAAACTCACATACTCCCCCACTGTGACATCTTTGCTCATTACCTATATTGTTTTACTACTAGTATTTGCATTCCTCAAATGGGTGGTCTGACCTTTTTAAAAATAAATAAATAAATAAATAAATACAAAATTCTGTAATTTTATTCAAATGGCATAACGATGACATGACATGTTCTGTCATCTTGATTCTCTAACCATGCTCCAGACATATTGAGAACATGTATTGGCGACAGAAGCACTAAGTATACCACATAAGCACATTTGTAATCCTGTGAAAACAGCACTGTGTTGTGAGGAGCTGCATAGAGGATCACCCTGTGGATTCCATGTAGACGACCAGTCCACTGCGGTTATGCAGAGACATGCGGCAGGGCTGTTTTGACAGTAAATGACGTGACATGAGAGTGCATTTAATAGCACTAGGTAAGGTTCTGTTATAGCCTGGACTGTGTTGTGCTTGGCTTTGGAGTTTTGTTTTTCACTGACCAGGAGAGAGCATTTCAGTCACTCACAGACAAAAGTTGTTTCATGTCTCCACAGGGCTTGTTTCTGTTGACAAGGCTAATTGTTAAGTGTGTGGTTGCTGATCCTGGGGCCAGGGAGCCACTTTGGGTTGTTCCACTAAAATGTGTATAACTTATACAAAGCCACAGGATTTTTTCTGAGTTGACACTGCTCAGTGGGTCATACAGTATCCATTGTGTACAGTCTGAGAGCTGTGGAGACTTTCTAATAATAGAATATAAACTACTTGGCAAGCAGAACTGCATTTAAAGATTCCACCTCCTTTGAGAAGGGGTGGCCCATGCAAAAGGGACTCCTATGTTTCATTTGGAAGTTATTGGTCCAGTTCCAAGACCATCTAAAGTCCAGTGATCAAAGGTTGAGTCAGAGAATAGCCTAGCGGGAGGCTTATGCAAAAATGTCATCTCTTATTGGGAATAGGACCTGCTGGAAACCACTGGCGCTTGTTTAAATGTCAATATTCCAAACACGGATTGGCTGTGCTTGGTCAAGTTTGAAGTATGTGGATGGAAAAAGAATTCTTTAGATATATTTAGCAGACCACCTTTTTTTTACACAACAAACTGTCAAAATGAATACAACTAAAATTCTTGATTATTTTTGCGTAGAAGTTAAAACGTATTATACAAAATCGACTTCCATTCTCATTTACGCACTCAAAGTTGTATTTAGAGTTACTTGGGCATGTTTGAGGAATCTTTATACTCCTGTATTCAAGACGTCATTGCTACCATCAGCCCCTGTTTCCACCACCAAAGGTCCACACCCAGTGCTCTTTAATTACTTCATTCTCCAATGTTATTTTCTTAATAGGTGATACTTGTAGGATCTGGCAGTGTCATGTAGCAACTTTAGCTCAGGTTTTTTAAACATCCTATCGATAGGAGGGGCTGACAGCATGCTGAATTGTTTCTTTAATTAAGTCACAATAGATCAGTAATGCAATTTAAAATGTCCAAAATATGGTGTCATAGTTTATAACTATATAACAGACAAAAGCATAACATCTTTAAAGAACTGATGGTCTGTTAAAGAACACATATGCAAAATTGACTTTTTGAGTTTTTAGAATATAGCTATTAGAATATGGTTCCCTCATTAAAAACATATTTTGAATTGTACTTCACGTCATTCATGCTGGTATCAGTAATCCTCTTTAAAAAGTCCTTCTGTGCCTCTGTGTCTCACTTTGACTGAAATTTCCCAGGATTGTGATGTCATAGATAGAAGCCCTGTCAAGTCCATAAATCACATCCAGACTTGTTTAAGTGTTTCTGACATATACATAGTATTTCTATATTGAGCACTCTGGCTGTGAAATGAGGCCTGCATTTTTAATTAGGAATTATTTTAAGTTCTAAATCATAAAATTCCAAAGCAAAGGTACTCAAGACCATGTTTCATGGTTAAAGGCCAACAACAATACAAATGATGCCCAACATTTGTTCTTTAGGTGTTAGCTTTTTAAAAAAAAATTAAACTCATAATTTTATTACGTATTTCTTGCATAAATAGAACGCTAACCTGCTCAATAAAGATGAGGAAAAATCTCATTTAAAAGTGAATTATATATCATTTTCAAATGAACAGACTATAGACCATTTTACGATGCTCCCTTTCAAAAGCACAGACGTCTTTTCCAGTGAAGTATTTACATCATATGTAAAACACATAACCAGTGACCATTCTGCCAGTGACCATTCATTCATAACTTGGTTCCCATGCAGATTTAATGGGATGATTGGTCTTTTAGAGGCAACACAGTTAGGCAATACCATAAAAAAGGCCTAATGTATCTCTAAAGAAGACATTTTTGCATTGTTAAAGTGACACTAAAGTCGGCACCAGCGTGAGAAACTGCAGTTCACTTAAAGGCCACTGCTGTCATTAATAACCTGAGTTTTCTGAAACTTTTGTAAGGCTAGATTGCCTTTAAGTGACACTTGAATAAACAGTGGTGTCAGTAGTGGCTGCTGGTTTGGCTAGTCCCATAGCTCTTGTTGGGACAGGAGCATACACAGCTCCAAGACACAAGTGGACATCAAACATGACTCCTCTTCACAGACCGCTGAGCTCCTGAGTGCTGATTCATCGTGCTAATGCTAAATCGGCGTTTGTTTGCACCTTTTAAAAGCAGTTCAGACGTCCACAGTCCATGACGGAGAAGACCACAGGATCAGTTAGAGGTAACTAAACGGGGGGCTGATAGTACCGCCAGGAATTTAAACAAAAGTATTTTTTCTCCCTCAAAGCTGCCATCTTTCAGGCTGACACTTGCTGTAAACATCATTCCGGTTAACAGCATTATAAGGCATGCTACTCCGCATTCTTAGCGCTTTTAAAAGATGGAAGGGCGTCTGAATTATTGTGTTTATTGGTCTGGAGAACGGAGTGCCTATATCAGAATAATTTGTGTTTTTAAGTGTAAGGAGGTTTGGGAAATATGATTGCACCCCATGAAACATTCAGACAACTTTGCAACTTTTAGATCAGATGTAAACAGTAAAGCAAATAAGACTAACTGACAAATATGTGGATTCCAAAAGTTAAAATTGCACAAGCCAAGTCTTATAAAGCTACTGATCTCTTCATTAAGGTCTCATGTTAGCATGCAGCTCTCCTGCCTGTAGGCCTGGTCTAGTTCAAGAGCAGCCAGTCGTAGTAGCACAAGCCTCTTGCAGCATGAAAACAAATGCAATTCAGTGACATAGTGGAACGGAGCTTTCACAAATACAAATAACTGCTGATCTGTTCAGTGGAAAGGTAATGTAACATGTCAGATGATACTGTGTTTATGATCACCAAAATAACAGTAACGGCCCCACACAGAGAGACTCCAACTCATAACTCTAATCCTTCAGAGAAATCCTGGAATGGTTCTTTCTCCATTTTTAAACCACTGACCTTAAAAGCAAGGCTTTGTATATAAAATGCATACCTTGGCAGAATGCACAGAAAGGAATGTACTTTATGTCCAACCAGTGTCTACCTTTTCCATCAGTCTTATGTGGGATGGGAATGTGCATGTCCCCGGTGCAGTCCAATGTCACTGTCACTGCTCTGAGAGTAAGAAACACAGGAATATTCCACTTTAAAATATAATCCTCATTTTATTAACAGAGGCCAAATAAAACTCATCACATTTTATTTACAAAGGGACGCAATAAATATCTTAATAATAGTCATAAAATTATTTTTGTTTACATTTGTTTTAAAAAAAAAGTCATACATGTGTCATGTTGTTAGTAGCAACTCATACAAAGTCCTGCGGGCAGACAGGTGGATATATACTAGTGGTGAGAGGCACAGAAGGAGCTGTGGATGTCTAGAGAGTAAGTACAGACTTTTCCAAAAGCATTTGAACCTGTCATTCAGTTAAAGAGGAAATGTGGACACAACAACACAAAGAACACAGAGGTAGAAGTCTTCAATACCCAACCAAACAAGCACCATCTCAAATATTAAGACAGTAACACAGCAACTTTAACAAGAGCACATTGTCCTAACCTGGCCAGCCAGCTGATCACTTTGAATTTCTTTAAATAATTCTGGTTGTTTATAAAATTGCATAATAGTGGTGTTAAAGTAGTTTATTTATTTAGCCATAAACCAATCCTTCTCTGCCATTCCTGACCACAAAGCCTTAAGTGTAATGTATAACAAGCTGCACTCAGCTGCATTTAAAGCTACCTTCCGTAAGGTTATTCGATTTTTTTTTTCACCAGTAGATGTGAAACCTGTTATCCCCCCACCAAGCCATTGTTCAGGCTCACCTGTGCTCTCTGGTCTTCTTCTGTCAGGCCAAAGCTGGCACACTGTCAGACAGCAGTAATGTAGATAGCATCTAGTGGTGTAAAGTGAGAATACAACAGGGCCGGGTCCACCAGTCTAGTTACAAATGGTAGCTTTAACAGCATGTCTAATTCCCTAGAATAGCAACTAAATGTGAGCGGATGGCTGACCAGACTAGCTTTGCATGGGAGTGACCACCTCCCCATTTCAATAAATTGGAAGACCATGTGGAACGTTGAATCACATACAAGCCAGAATGTGGTGTTTTTGTTTTTTCAAGCATTTAAACAGGACTTAAGCCGTGGCTGATGTCTGACTAGTCAAAGCATGTCATGTTTTAGCTGAATCACAGTCTGCATAGAAATGTCAAGAAGATCTCATGAAGGGTTGGCGGATTCCGTTTTTTCCAAGAGACGTACGGAAACAAGAGGAAGAGATAGAGAGAGACTTGTAAAATATTGCACTCAAAGCTCCCCAGTCTCTCCACAGGGCAGTGTCACACCTGCACTGGCCACCTCTGCTGCATCTCCATGGTGTCTGATTCCAGTGGAAAGTATGGGATCCGCGTTGTCAGGGGCAACACAAACAAAACGCGACAGGTATTCCAATGAATCTCTACTTGGCTGATTTTTATAGCGTTGCGTCAGCCCTTCAGTCCCCATTGTCAAAAAGGCAGTTCGAATGGAGCCGAGGACGATGGCGACAGTTTTTTTTTTTTTTTCCTTAGAGGTCCTTTAGTTTATCCAGTATAAATAACATAACAGACACGTGAGCACATGACATCAACCCAGAGGAATTCAAGAGTTAGGAAATATTCAGTCATCCTCGAAATACAAAAATAAAACATCTTTGACTTTTTTGTTCTGCAAGTCTGTCTCAAGAGTCTTTAAAGTGATTCTTTTCTGACAAGAAGCGTGGCATTTTCTCTGTTACAGTCTACTTTCTTATCCCAAGAAAAGTGAGCTCTGTCCATTCATTGTCTCCATCAGTTCCTCCTGGCTTTTAACCGGCGCGCCCTACGTGTCCTTTTAGTAACCGTGGTGAATTTAAACTCCTCCACAGGCTCTACCCGGCCTTTTGGATGGCGTTTCATGAAGTGGACTTCCTGTTGCCGTTGCGTGGTCCTCGAGCCCTTCTTCGGCCGGCCTTTTCGGTTGAAGCCCAGGTACCAGCCTTTGTACTTGGCCGACACCAGAGCAGTGTAGTTGTTTTCAAGGAACTCCTCCACGAAGACGCACTCCTGCTTCCTTCCATCAGGCTGAAAGAAAAAGAAAACAAGGGATTAGTTAAATGTCAATCCTCATATCATCTTTGCACTGTTTTCTTTACGACCTCTTGTATATTGCTGATATATTTGTATTACTTACTTCTATTTTATATTATTTTTACTAGTACATGTACATTTATATATCTTATTTGACACCAATCTGTTGCTAGTTTTGCTATTTATTTAGAATTTATTATTACCATTTATATTGTTTTACTCTTTATTATAATATATAGTGATGTGTGGGCTACTGTGCTCAAATTATTTCAGATAACTTGTGGATCAAAGTTTGTCTAAGTCTAAGTCTGAATGTAAGTACTGAGTTTGAAAATGTAGACACTGTAAAGGTGCAAACTACTGGGATGACTGAGGGATTATATAACACCATGGATATAAATTACTACAATTTAATGTTGAAAATCAAATTATCATTGCAGCATTGTAAATTAGTTTATTCCTTAGCATCAAAATCAAATTTGAAATTTTAATATTGTGACAACACTACTGGGCAACCTTATCTAGTGCAATGCTTTTATTAAAGGTGCACTGTGTAACATTTCTGGCGGCTGATCCACCGCCTGTTGTCTCCCAGGAAAATGTATTGCCTTGCCAAGATATTCAATTTCTTTACCTCCATAAAGACAAACAGTTGGCACCACCAGGCCAAGTTACAGGTCAGGGCTGTGGAGAGGTAGCCCCCTCACAGTAAGAATGCATGTTTTCAAAGCAAGTCCAAGCAATGAAAACAATAAAAGACTGCTAGATAGATATATTTAATGTCTTACTGCAGAACATGTTTTGAGCAATAAAATCTCCATGTTGCCAAGCAGGTGGTGGACCCCTATTGTAAAGGTTCCACAGTGCAACTTTAAATCATGTTTTATAAAATGACCAAACTACTCACTCAATTCTAAGAGAAACTAAATATTAGGTATTTTCCTGTGTGCATAGTTTCAGAGGTCTTTTAAAGAGCCCACCCATTCCATGTCTTTCCCAGAGCATTGTAATGTCCAAGCACAATGTAAAGGCCAGTGTGAAGGGAAAGTGCATGTTTTGGACAGAGGAGCGCTGAGAGAGAGTGGGAGCGTGTGTGAATGAGTGCAGCCCCTCTTGCTGACAGCATGACTTATTAATGCCACAGAATCACACGTGTGTGTCCAGTGTGCCTCTGCTGCTGTCGGCGTGGTCCTGCTCTCCGCTCACTCCTATGGCCACCTGGTGTGACTAAGTGATATAACGCCAATGGCATTCCTCCTAAGTGACCATTAGTCTCTCAATGCATTGTGGTGATTGCAGTCTGTAATTGACTGATCGAGTGTCAAAGGAGTAGGCCCATTACGTAATGGAAGAATGGCTGGGAGTTATCAAAGGGGTTTTGTTGGGTGTACAATAACAGCAGGAGAAAGCAGATCTGGGGTTGTGTTCAATTCACTGTGGATTAGGGGCGCCTTTCAAATATTGATTCTGATTTTAGAACATGTACTTTCCATCGCAATTACAAGGCCTCTATTTTGGGGTCAACCTGTGCCCTGTGGCAATAGAAAAAAACTGCAATGTGTTCAGTCTAGTGATTAACTTCAAGTCTATTATGCTATTAAAACAGGTTTAAAAATGTCATATTTAACTTGTCTGGCTGACCACCACATAGTCTGGTACACATAACCATACCAAACGATTTCCTTTTGATTTATGATAGTTATGTGATTGGACAAAACAGTTATTCAACTAGAAATGGCATGTTGTTTACAGTAATTTGTATAACATCCAAATACTGTGGAATTTACAAGCTTTTCATATTGTGCAATTCAAATCAATTGCTCACCATAGACGATCTCAAAGTAAACAGGGGGCGAGGCAAAAGCTCTCAAAAAATATTACGTGCCTCTATGTATCTGACCCACACTGCACTCACAAGATTAAAACTGCATGCAAACTCATGCAAAATCAACTATTTAGGAATCAGATAGGAAACAGGCAGTACTATATAAAAACATGAGTCATGAATTTAATCTGACTTTATACAAACATAAGTATCACTCACTAACTAGCTCCTCTTTTCTGTTGCTGTTCCATATAAATCCTTATAATCTAAATAAAATCATTAATACACATTTTGTTTGACTAAGACACCCTCAACCGATTAATCAACTAAACAAGCCTACAGCCCTATTAGCGTTATGGAGAGATGATTTCATGGTTAAGAGGATTTAATATTGCGCACTGATACTTACCCTTCCCACTATTTTGCCCTTCTCATTCATACAGATGTAATGGTCACTTTCTTTGCCCTTTATTCGGATGTGACTCCCGAAGGTTTCTGTCTCCACCACGAGAAGAGCTGAAAGACACAAACAAAACAAAAAAAAAGCAATAACTGACATGTCCGACAATCTTTCAAACATCCACATTATGAGCCTCTACGCGCTTGACAGTGAGCGGTAAAAGTGATAATGGTAAGAAGTGATCTCGGCTAAAACAACAACAATGGCGGCGTCACTTAAACCTGACACAGCACTAATCCACTCTAAAGACGCATCCTGGCGGCTCTTTCATTTCGCCGCACAGCCCGCCCCCTCCCGACTCCCAAATGTTAACCCCTGCCAGGTCACCTTTGTCTGTGCTCGCCTGTCAAGACCCAAAGAGATCGACCAAACATTTGCGGAGCAGTTATGTGCCCCTCAGGATTAGGTTTCAAGTTGCCCTTAGTCTGTGCTCACTCAATCAAAAAGTTAAGATGATCCATTTGTTTAACACACAGGGCCATTCAGTAGCGCTCAAGGGAGCAGGGGGAAAGAATAGGCCAGGGGATGGGATAGGCTTGGGGGCAGAAGACAAACTACCCCCCCTTCCCCAAGACTCAGCCTTCAAAAGTGGGAAGTAGAAAACCAGCCCATCTTGTGAGTGTGTGGGGAAAGATCGCTTCTAGATCTTTTGGACCATTTTAAAAGACTTGGAGTTGTCAACCCGAATCGGCAAATGTTTGACAAGATTTTGGCTGACTATTTTAGCGAGTGGACCCAACAGGCTGAATGAAGCTATAGATAAAACCACTGCTGTATTTTTCAGAGCCTCCAAAAATATCTTTTAAAAATGAATGCACTGGCAGCTGCAGGCTTTAACTTAATTAGAACCTTGCCTCACAACACAATCACTAAAGTGGAATCTCTGTCATCGATACCACTAACGAATGGCATTTAGTTTACAAAGGCGGGAATGCAGTACACTACAAGCACTTCAAAACAGTAATCCGCATAAGCCATGACTTCACAAAAGTTCTGTAAACGTGGGCGCTCTACACTTCAGTAATCTCTTGGAAAACTTCCTAGTACATATATGCTTTGTGGTATGTGCCAACGGTAAAACAACAATCCATACAAAAGGCTTATTTTATCAATAGTTGTTTCGTACAATGAGAAATTTCCACCCTTCTGTAATATATGCTTCCAAAGACATATATATTAACCTTACAATAGGGTCATCTGACAAGAAGCCTTCTTGTAAAACTCCTACGTTAATTATAGCTAACAGAGTGCATCCATTTGTAAGCCTTAGGTGGCCGACCAGCTAAGACAAATTTTTGGCTGGAAAAATTGTATCTAGATAATGAATATGCTTAAGTAAAACCGATGAAGAATGAGAGCTGCCATTTTGAGGCGCCTGAATGAAAAGTAGGTGAACTTTGCAGATCCTAAGCTAAACACAAAAGCTAAATGGAAATATACGTCATGCCCGATGCATTGTGGCTAAGTGCCGGTGAGCTAAATAGTACTGTCTTCATATAAGCTTCGTTAGAAAGTGCAAAAGAGTTCACAGGTGCCAGGTACTGCAGCTGGATGGGTAGGAGGGAGAGGGGGGAGGGAGGGTGAGCAAGGCGGAGGAGGGCAGAATTGGCAAGGCCTCATGGGAAAAAAGTTGGATCTGCTTCTACTCAAGCTCTAACAAGCAGTGAGGAAGCTTCGCCCTGGCGCATCTGCGACGGAACGCGCTCATTCAAATTAGCACCACGAGTTAGGAGCTAGGGACAAGCTACGTGCAGAGGACGACAACAAGTGGTACATCTGCCATTAAACTTGGGCACTCCAGTTTACTGCCACCAATGATCATTTGGTTCTCTTCAATTAATTTCATATAGCCAAGGCTATGAGTTTAAATCCCATTACTCCCAATCCACTGAGACCCTTGGCAAGACATTGTAGACAGTGTACTTTGTAAGCACTAGATGTTATTGTTAGTAGTATAGCATTAAACGTATCTATCTTGTATTTATTCAATTATAGGTATATTTATAACCAAAAATACTTTTATAAACATCCATTCTGGCTGTGAGGGTGCTCATCTCTCCACAGAGCTGAACTGGCCAGGTGGTGTTACGTGACTTTTTATTCGTAACTTGTTGGGTAATTTTCTCCATCACAAACAACTATATAGTGTGCCTTTAATTAAGTTTTGCATATTTTTGAAATATGGGCATTTCATTGGCCTTAGGAGTGTCATTTTTGTTGACATAATTCTGAATCTGCAAGCCACAACAACTCAGTACCCAGTAGGAATTCTGGAGCTGTCTAGCGAGAAAAAAATCCCAAACCCAGACTCAGAAAACAGTGATAATTGTGCAGCTCATATTTGCAAATTTTGATTTTAAATATACCATGTTTGCTCCCATCGTCTCCGTTTGCGTTGATCTTCTTGCCCAGGATCTGAACGTGCTTCCCTGTGGTCCGGCTGTACAGCTGGTAGATCCGCACCTGCTTTCGGCTCACCTCGTCCGGGTGCTTGGTGTGGTTCTCGATGTAAAACTGGAAATCTGTGGAACTCTGCTGGGACTCCTGCACACAGGTGTGAGAAAGAGAGAAAGAACCAGGATTAAGAAACATACCGTCATGGCGCAGGTGTTGATAATAATGTGCGCTCTTATTTTTACGGGCTCTGTGTCAAAAATATGATGCTCCAGGGGCTAAAAACTGATATAACAAGCAGGCATGTGGCTTTTTTGTTTTGTTTTTTTTTCCCTTCACTTTCAACTGCACGTTTTAAGCAGTGCATTTACAAGCTGCTAACCATGCTGCAAGTGCGTTAATGAACCTGTGAATGAAAATCTCACAGCAAAGTCTCCGCATTGACGCAATGGTATGTATGCAGAAGGCCCCAAGGCGGTATTGGGAAACCTGTACTCCCATTTCCACTAGCAGGCCAGCAGCCACCAGCAATTATACACCTGAAGCATCCAGCCCTGTTGCACTATCATCAAACAACACTATCATCAAACAAATATCTGCCCTCAGGCTTGGAGCGGTCCATAAATTACCAATGCGCCAGGCGGAAGATGGGAGTAAAACAAGAGGCACCCCAAACCTGCGCAAACACTCTTCAGATGTGACGTTCATGATCAAATCAAATGTTGTGAACAGCTCTTTGGCGTGAATGAGTTGAGCTAGATTGAATTTGTGAAAAGAGTTGAATATTTTGCATATTTTTTACACAACTGTACATTGAAGTGACATAAGAAAATACATGGATGCAGATTAGGCAACACAAGTGAAAGCTTTTTGTACAAAAACAGTTTTGGTTTAGAAGATGTGTGTTTTTTTAAAGGTGTACTATGTAACTTTTCTGGAGGTGGGTCCGCCCTTTGCTTGTCTCCAGGGTGATCTCAGCCTGAAAGCTTCCATTACAATAAAGGTATCCATCTTGCATTTTCATTCATCAAAAATACCTTCATACTCTCTTCTGACTTTGAGCGGGCTCGTCTTTCTACAGATCTGACCTGTAACTTTGCCTGGTGGTATCACCTCCTTGTCTCCATGTAGATAAATATATGCCACACTATGTGACATTCTAGTTAAAGCAGTAACAGCACCATGGAGAGAAGTGCATCTTTAAACTTTGATTCACCTTAACTTGTTATTTCAAAGGGTAATCAACAGTTTAACCTTAAATTTTGATTATTCCAATGATGCCATTCCCATTCTTTATTAGTGTTTGGATAGTTCTAGGTACCTTCTAAAACATACATTAACATAACATGAATTGAATATCTCCTTGAAATGAATGAATCTTAAAGAATTCTCTCGCATCTCTTGCAACAATTTTTAATCTGTCTTTATGCATTGCCTTCCAAAATGACTAGGCGGCTGTTTACGAGTCACCTTTGACATGGTGTAAAAACAGAGGAAATCTGAAGTTTGTTTGCAGCGCCGAAAGTATGTCACCCGACATTTGGAGGAAGAGAGGCCAACATATACTTTAGAACGCCTGCTGGAATCTCTGTTCACGCCAATATCCCATTTCCCAGCTGGACGCTCTGGTAATTGCACGGTAATGGCTTTTTATGCAGGCGTTCTCAGGTGGCTAATTATACACATATTACATAGCGCACAGGTCCTTGTTATTTTAACTTCTGTGAATTAATAGCACAGTCACAACCACGATTGAACAGAAAAATGGCCAATCCGAACTTCCTCAGAGACTCGTAATGCAGTTCTTTTGTAGCAGGTGCCGCGCCAGTTGAGGGCTGATTTTCAACTATGTCCCATCGGAGGGGAACACAATGTGGACTGTAGCTTTCCGATATCTGCACAAGTCATTGGAGCGAGAGGGGCTGGTCCGGCTGACCGCTATGACGTATGCAGTCCAGATATGCGGACCTTAGAGGATCCGACGCCTTGACTGCAGGGCCAGGGCTTCTGTAGTTTTGACATTTTGAGAACACGCCCATCACGTTAGCAGTAGAAGCGTGTACGTCATGTCCAGTGTTGTGAAGACTACTTTGAAATGTTTAGTTATAGCATACTGAATACCTGGATGTAGATACATTTTGTAACATATTCCATTTTATGGTCCAATCAGAGTATTGTGTTCTGAATACTTAGAATACTTTCATGGCAAGTTGCTTTATATTATAGTGTAAAAAATGCAACAGAGGACTAAAACAGCTTGTTATGTTTGTTATGCATTTATTTACCACTAATTGGAGAAGGAAAATTTTTTCTCAGTTTTAAACACAAAATTGCGTGATCACATACCGCAATATATTTCTTTGATTTTACAAATGTACTATAACTGTATTCTGAATATCACCCAATGAAAAAGTAACAGTACAGGAATAGGCTACAGTAGCTCAAAATTTGTATTCTGAATATGTATTTTTAGTATATGTAATCAGTTACTTTCCAACACTGGTCATGTCACTTTTAGCTTCAGACGGAGGGGGAGAATGAGACAATGGATTTACCGCTGGCTATCAAATCACTCTCAACTGATAAAACGTTTAACAGCGCCACAGTTGGTAAACATACATCTAATGACTTCTTATTACATCTTATCACCTTCCCATTAGAGTTTTATAGGCATAGTAACTATCCCGCTGCACTTTTATTGAGCCTTGATCATGCAGCTAATGCAAGACACGTTTTCTGATGTTGCTTTGTAGCTTTGGTGCCCTGTAGGTCTACCTGTGGATTTATTGTTGGATTTATAATATTAGAGCATTGATATCTTGAGTGAGAGGCTGAATCCACATTATATTTAACTTGGAGTGTTTTACAGTGTATGTTAATACACTGGTTGGACTACACAATAAAAAAAGTGCATGTTGTGATTATACAAAATAACTGAATTCTCTCAAAGATTAGGACATATGGACCTAATGTGCACTCAGTCTTGATTTAAAAATGTAAATTCCCATAGTACAATTTCAGTTCACATCTGGAAAAAACATATTTTGATATACAAAGAGTTTATATGAGTATCAGTATTGAAGAAACTACATTTTCAGGATAAAATTGGCCTGCTGGTGCCACCATTAGATAGTTTCAATGCCATACTGTGGAACATTCCAGGCAAAGAAATAACGACCCCATGGAGAGAAGCAAGTGGAGAACCTGCCACCAGAAAAGTTCAAAAGTGCACTTTTAAAGAATCTCATTTTGTGTTGAAATTTACACTGCATTGGTTTCCTGTTATAGGTGATTGATTTATTTGCACAAAAGATATAATATTATAGATAATATTACTCAAATGTTAATTGCTATGTCGGCTATTAAAATTTTTCATCATTCAAAAACCCATGTATAGTAAAGAGTTTTTATGATTGTGTTTTGTTATCTGTATCAACCTCAATATAAAAAAGCCTGAAATTTTAGCATCGTATCTATCATCACTTATTCCAAAATCCTTCAGCACCAGTCAAACCCTCATCTATCCCTGTGTTTCAGAACAATGAGATATTGGGACTGCTGCCATAGTTGTTAATTAATCAGTTTAAAATAAAATATATTGTTTGAATTGAACAAAAAAAAAATCTCAAAATGTTGCACAGAACCAAAAGCTGTCAACCCTGTCTAAAGGAACCCAAAACTACCTCAGCACACACACACACACACACACACACAACAAAGCATGGTCTAACTGCACAGGGATTTCACCCAAATCTCCCCATCGCTAAACAAACATAAAGGTGAGTTCGCGAGACAGTTTTGTTCAGCGTTGAGGGGGGGGAGTGGGCAAGCCTAAGCACATGAATGGGGTGAACACTATAGCGACAACATTTTTTATCAAGCCGTCTGCAGCCCTCTTCAAAGATGGGATGAAAACGGATACGGTTGAAACTTCAAAAGCCTGGCACTCTGCTCCAGTGAGGAAGCCTAGTTGTCGCAAGCATCTCACAGACACCTTACAATCTCGTGGACACAAAGGACAGGGTCAAACGCTCCAATTCACAGCTATGGAGGAGACCCCGGCGGTGCATTCAAAGGCCGATCCCGACTGCAGTGGCTTCTGTTGTTTTTCAGCGTGTATCCCACCCCTGTGTGACATTTGGGAGTTATGCGGTGCTGGGAATACTCATTGAAAAAGCATCATGACAAATAACTATTCCTGAAACTTCTTCTCTGAACCCTGGAAGCCCACAAATCTACAGCGCATATCTTCTCAAATCTCTATCTGCAATCTTGTATTTCCTAACCACAACAAACCAACAAGTAACTGATGTTAATCTCCACACCAGGAAATATCACTGAATGGCCAATGCACTTCAGCATGTCCAAACATTTCCTCATTTATTTCTGCATAGACAAAATATTCCAAATTGCACAGGAAGCATGTAGAGTATATACAATTTCCGAGTAAAAAAAAAAAAAAAAAAAAAAAAAAAGAACTTACATTTTCGTATGTTATTTAATTCACAATGCCTCATCTTGATAATTACGCTGCATATTTTTGAGAGCCTTTCGAATACAGGCTTAATGAAAAATGCACCTTTTGTGTTAATGTTATTCTTAAAAATGTCATCTGTTATATTTTTAGATGTTTATATAAATTGATTTTATATGCTAATGAAAAGCGTTACACGTAGGCTATATGACATCCACAAAACTTCATCAAAAAGGTGTCAGGTGTCCAATTGTTGCGTATTTTCAAAGGGTTTTACGGTAGAGGTTTAATCGAGTGGGGTGTCATAAATTGTCCTTTTGCTGCTAAAAGGTCTAATTGCCTTATGTTCATTACAACGACATGCTCATTTTAAATATTGCCTATGCCAGGGACAAGCTCTGTCACGTCAGCCGTAAAGTAAATCTACGGCTCTATAGCAACGGGGGCGCGTGCTCGGGTCCATCTTCTCTCGTTAGCGCGGAGTGGACGGCTGCAAATCATTAGCCTTCAAAGAAGAAACTGCTCCAAAAACGAGGCACCAAGCGCCAACGACGTGTTCAAAGAATAACAAATATTTATTATTACAGCATGCTCGTATAAAACGGCTACTTACTGTAAAAGCTCGAGACCAGTGTGGTTAATAGGCTATTAGGAGATTAGCCCGCCGTGCAATATG